TTAATAATAAATAAAAGCGAATTCTAATCGTAAACTATTACTTCCAAGATGACATATAATGTTGCTACTTGCTTATGTGCATTAATGATGATTGCATAAATCGCAATACTAATAGCAAACGCAACAGTGAGGAATATGCCGTATGAATATATACGCTACAGACTAAAATAATGAAAAATACTATTTCCTGATCATCGACACGAAGAATATATTTTTCGTATGTAAGTAGAATTTCGAGACTACCATCAAATCGGTAACATGACATGTATTCATCCTATTTCGTTTAAGATGATGAAGGAAGTAGAATTTTCCCACAATGATATGAGTTGAGCTGACGGTTCCATTCAATTTCGCATAGCCTTGCTTTCCCAAAAGTTGTTCTCATTCAGACAAAAGTGGACTGCAGTTTCGATCTCGTATCGGTCCTATCAACAACCCCAGTGGGATTCGAACCGTGGCAATGCAGAATGCGAGCTTGACACGTTAACCACTCGGCCACATTGTCACGAGTGCTCTTGGGTCACAGGGCAGATGTGAATTTCAAGGAAGGCCAGGCCCTTTCCCATATCACAGTCTTTGGTGGGATTGTCGATGAAGCAAACGTATTTTTGCTATAACAATAGACTACATTACTTATTTTTCGTATTTAAGTAGAGTTTCCAGACCACCAGTAAATCAGTAATATGAGATGTACTCGCCCAATTTCGTTTAATGTGATGAAGGACTTGTAGTACAAATTTCCCACAATGATATAAGTAGAGCTGACGTTTCCATTGAATTTCACATAGCCTTGCTTTCACAAAAGTTGTTCACATCCAGACACAAGTGGACTGCAGTTTCGACCTCGCATCGGTCCTATCAACACCCCCAGCGGGATTCGAACCGTGACAGTGCAGAATGTGAGTTTGATACATTAACCACAAAATTTGTAGTTGTAAAGAGATGGTCAGTCTTCTTGACTTAGAGTTAACTCGACACTTTTGTAGGAATGTGTTCCGGCTCTAATTATCTTCATCATATGACGCAAGAAAGCTCAGCTCCTCTTTACCTGATGCAAGGGAGGATGTCTTGTGAACTACATCAACCTGAACCTTGTATTAAGGCCAAACTGCAGCATCACAACTGGAATCAACCATTGCCTTTTGATGTGATTGATCTATGAAACTCTTCATTATGCATTTTTGATATGAAATGAAAGTCTTCTCAGCAGAGGCGCGTATTCAATTGCATCATTCCAAATGTAATGCTGATTGAGTTCACGCACTTATCAAATTCGTTTCCGACCATTTGTGTGGCCTTCTTAGCGTTGATGGTTTAACTTTTTGTATCTTCTTTAGCCTATACTGAATGTGGCCATGAGAATGACCAACTGCTGCGAGAATATTTGTGAAAACTTGGCCCGTTTTTACCGGTTTCCAGGACGATTGCTTCGGGGACAGCGTTAAAATGGGTGCTCCACTAATACCAACCGACAGCAGCAGCACGAAGCAATTAAAGTATAGTCAATCAAAGAGATAGAAGAACTGCTAATATTAATTTGTCATGATGCTTGGTGAATTAACTTAAAGCACAATGTCCTGCTCTGAAGATGTCTGTCACGAGAGGAAGAATGAAATATCATCTGGGCCGCCCAATGGCGCGCAGAAATCTACATCATAGCTCTAGGACAATTTGATAATCTCTTAAACTTGTCATTGCAAACGACACCAATCTAGCAAAAAATTCTTCATAACCCAGTTTTACTTTGTAGCTATACTGCCATTTTATGCCCTACAAGACATGATTCATGCAAAAAAATGGGAAAAATTGTCGAATACCCGTCATCTCGGAGACTGTATCAAACAGCGACGCAACCCCGGAGCTGGGAGCGTCAGTGTTGGCGTCAAAGTAGTCGGCAACGTTTGTCTCTCCTCGGCCGGCCTCATTCGTCTTCTGTCCGGCCGGACTCAACGCCAAAGTCGCTGCCGTCGCTGTCGTCATCGTCATCGTGGTTGTTGTTGTCGTTGTCGTTATCACCGTTGTTGTTGCCGTCGTCGTCGGCGACGCCGTCGTCGAGCCTGAGAGGCCGAGGAGGCCGGAGCAGTTGGATTGGTCTGGAAAAGCGGTGAAATCAGAGGCTGCTGCCGCAGCAGCAGCAGCAGCCGCTGCCACCGCCGCCGCCTGAAGCATGGAGGTCGTTCTGTTGTGGTACTGTTGCTGCTGGCTGAGCTGATGGTGCTGCTGCTGCTGCTGCTGCTGCTGCTGTTGGTGGTGGTGGTGGTGGTTGTGAATCTGCTGCTGGCTGGAGGGATAGATTAATTGTGGAGACTGGAGCATTTGAGGCTGGGCCAGGTTGGGAGGACGTCGGGCAGACGAGCCGACAAGATGGCCGGTCGTCAGAACCGCCGGATAGGCGGTTGTAGAACTGGCCGGCGGCCGCAAGTGGTGCAGGTGGTGCAGTTGGTCCGGGTGTTGGTGTGCCAGATGCTGTTGGTAGGCGGCTGAGTTGCTGTAGACGCCGGCCTCGTGAAGATGATGCTGTTGTGGCAGCACTTGCTGTAGGTCGCCGACTTCGTAGTCTTTCGGTTGGTGTCGTTGCTGGTGCTTCTGTTGTTGTTGCTGTTGATGTTGTTCTTGCTGGTCAAGACGACTGTCACGACTGTGGTCGGGTTGGTGCTGCAGCGAGAGTTCGCTCGGCAAAGGGACCAAATGGTCCGGGCCACCGAGGGTCGGATGGAAGGATGGCAGGCCGGTGACAGTGGGACAGGGGGTGGAGGCTGCCAGCGTCTGGCTGGACGAGATGCAGAGAAGACTAGCCGGCACGGGGAGGTAGGCGGAGGACCGATGGTTGGTGGTTGGGGTTGGTGAGAGTATCTGAGAGCTGGCCTGCGAAGGGGAAGAGGAGATGAGACTGGTTTCGATTGAGTTCGGGGTGTTGTTCTGCCGGAGGAGACGAAAAAGGTGGTGGACAGATAACAGAGGTTCAAAGAGACGGATCGGTGAAGTGGTATGTAAAAGAAAGTTGGGTTTCCAGGAGTTTCTTGGTTTTAATAGTTGAGATCAGTTTTATTTCGAGTGAAAGTCTGTGGGGAAAATATTCAAAAGTACATCGCATCAGAAGACGACGGCGGATTTCTCTCGTCCTATAGCATGAACTAACCAAATCACTTTATGACTCATCAAAATGGATAGAATTAAGTTAGATCGGAGAAAAAATGTTAACAAGAAAGTTCCATTAGTGCCAATCGTCGACTGGCCAAGAGAAATCCGCCGTTGCCTTCCGGTGGGATCAAGTTTCGGATCGCTTTACCAAAAACTTTCACTTGAAATGGAAGTAAGCTCAACAATTGTGAACCAAGAGATTACGCGAAACCCAAGTTTTCTTCGCATATACTCTGATGATGTCTGTCAAAATGTCGAGCGAACCTTTGGCATTGGTTCTGCCTCGTTTTCGTAACTTGATCGGAGCGTCGGGGAGACCTTTTGGAACGTCATCGGAAATCACGTTACGACCAAGTTGCGAAAACTAGGTCGGAGCCAACACTACAAAGTGAATGGAGACTGCGACAAAACAGACGGCTACACCATTTTGGTCTCTATAGCAACGATAGAAACTCTAGCACGTTTTAGTCGGAATAAATCAAGCTTAATTTAGGCAACAAAGTCGGCAAAATTTGGTGATCCTACCAGAAGCTGACGGTGGATTTATTTTGACTAGCAGTCGGCTGGCCTTACGGAAACATTCTTTTTCTATTTCGATTCCAATGCAAATGTGCTTTATCTTTGGCCTTTTTTTAAACATATTTACAAAACCAAGACTGGTACTTCAAAATCAGTGGTCATTCAGAATACTACGTGAAAATATGTTTATTCAGGACTTGGTTGAAAATAGCATCAGATTAATGAAGCATGCATTTTTTGA